AATTTGTAATTTTATATAATTTTATGTGGTGCTTTATTTAACTTTTAGGGAAAGACCACTTATGTCCACATAAGTACTAAATGCATAATCAAAATCTAGGACTTTCAGTCTTTCCTTAAGTCTGATTTTTTTCTCTCTTAAGGACTTCAGTCAATCCTGATAGATTTTGACTAGGAAGTAGGCTAAAAAAATTCCCTAATACATCATTAGTATCTGAAAATACAGAAAACCTAAGTTAGACATACAATGTACAATAGTGATTCTTTAACCCAATCATTTTAAATAATACTTCTGACTACAAACTGTATATATTTGGGCTGCATTTTGTTGGCACCTTTTGTCTCAGATAGGATCTTGGCTGGCCTTGACCATGGAATCCTCCTGCCTCAGCCTCTGGGATTATTGTACACCACCACACCCAGCCTGTTGGCCCTCTGAAATGATATAATCTATGTAATGTTTTGGCTTGTACTGAGAGGTGTTATAAGAAACAGGCCCTGTGAATCTTGCTATTGTGTTTACTATGGGAACAGTGAGAAATAAGATACACATATATCCAGAATCCATTCTCTGACAATCCACTAACACATTCTGTCCTCAGTTATTGGAAAGTAGGTTGCAGTTGTGTAGGAGACTGAAAACTTTTTTTCCCCTAAATTAGCTGCTAAAATTTTGCAGCCACTTTTGCTGAGTTTATGGAATGCAAATGTGTTACACTACTCCATGCACCACCTCTCAGCATTTTCCTACCATTGTAATTCCAGCATTTGGGAACTGTCACTTTCTGCTTGGTGTGGAAAACAGACACATCCATTGTTCTCATCCACGGAGCCAGATATGGAAAGGAGTCTATCTCTGCACACCTCCTTACAGCAGAAAAAAATTGTTAGAGTTAATCACTGAGCTATGTAGTCTAATGTGTGGATCAGTGATCATGCATACCATGCTCACTTCTCTAGCTTTTAATTTTTCATGTTTTGATAATGTTAGATTCTTAGTGGCACAAGATAAATATACCTGAATAGGACTGAGAGTCAGCTTTCTTTTGGTTTTTTGAGACACAGTCTTGCTATTTAGTTCAGGCTGGCCTTGAATGCACAGTGATTCTCCTACCTCAGCTTCTGAAAAAGAGTCCTCATTTTAGACAGGTCGAGTCATCCTTGTAGGCATCTGACAAGCCTTTGGTCCCTGATTATATAGCTGGTTAGAAAACTGCACTCTTACCAGTACTACAGGTATATTCCAATTGGGCAAGTGATAAATGCTATAGGCTAAATGTTTGTGTCTCCAAAAATTCATATTGAAATCCTAATACCCCATATGACAGTACAGTGATACCTCAGTTGTCAGATGGCTCCAAGTTTGAACTTTCCACTAAAACAGCAAAATTTGAAAAACATCTGCTCAGTGTTCACTGCCTGATAGTCAAACCGAAAATCTGACGTGAAAAAATATGGCTAGGAGTGAGCCACACATCGCGTCTCTCAGGAGACACAAAGAGGTGACACTTCAGTCTAAGCACAGCTTTTAGCCAGACAACATATACTACAGTGTTTGTGCTAAAACATTCCTTTTTTTGCACTTTATTTGCATAAAACTATGGCTCCAAAGAAAGTGATAATAGCAGTAAAGCTAAGAGGAAAACTGTGAGAACCACATTAAAAAAAATAATTGCAAAATTTGTTAAAGTCTTGGGAAAATGAATTTATAAGTGTAGTTTTGGGGCCTCAGAATCAGTTATTTGGTTTTCCATTATTATGGGAAAAATATGTTCAGTTCTCAAACTTCAGTGTTTGAACATGAATTTATGAGGCGTTCAACAACTGAAGTATTGCTATACTAGGAGTTGGGGCCTTTGAGAGGGGATCCAGTCATGAGGGTGAAGACTTAAATGAATAGGATTCATACCCTACCCATCTTGCTCCTTGCAAATTTGAGGACTCTGAGAAAGTATTTCCCTCTATAAGCGAACAAGACCCTCAACAGAAGCCAAATCTATCTGCCAGTACCTTGATTTTGGGTTTGTCCGTCCTCCAGAACTGAGATAAATACAGACTAAGACATCAAGCTCTAAATTTAGGTACATGAGTGAGAGGAATAAAGACCCCTTTAGCCCTAGTACTAAGTTGTGTTCCTAACACAATTTACCAGAAGTTCTGTTTTTAAGCCTTGAGTGACTTGTAGTGCTTCTTACAGATTGTCTTCCCTGCACGAGAGGTAGTTGGCAAAGCACAGTGAACCTTAATACCTAGTTTAGATTTATGTATCTTAAATGCAATACAGTGGCACATGAAAAACCAGATTTATAAGTTTTGGAGGATATCAAAAGTGAATCATCAGGTTATTCATCCATGGATGATCTATTATGGTAAAATACATGTTTTCATAACAAGAGTGGTGTGGGTGTTATGAGGACGATGACAATTTTGACATTGGCCATGTGAGCCAAAATTCCTGTGACAGTGAAATGGAGCAAGAATTGACTGATACAGACACAGGGAACGCAGACCTCCTTGATTCAGATGACAAAACAGCAATGTGAGTGCATATTTGACTAGTTGAAATTTGCAAAATAGTTGGTCACACAACCAAATGGAATGATCCAATGTTAGAACTAGGTCCAAAAATATAGTGAGGATCTTGGGAGAGATGAAACCTATTGGACAGAATGTCAGCACTGCCATTCAGTGTTGGAAATTGTAACAGACAAAATGCTACAAGATGTGAAATACACAAAGGCTGAAATACAAGTAAAACATTCGGTATGCACCGTTAGCCATATTTAGAAATGTATTTATGATGACACCTCACTAGCTGAACTGAAAGCATTCATAGGTCTGCTGTACTTACCAGGGATTTCTCATGGTAACTGCAGCAGTGTAAATGACTTATGGAAAAGCCATGGGTATGGGCTTGAGGTATGTAGAATAACAATGACACCGAGAAGATTAGATTTCCTTCAGAATTGCCTGAACTTTGATAACAAAACCACCCAAGAAAGAAAAAGAACTGATAATCTGGCTATCTGGTCATACTTTGACAGATTTATGAGTAATTGCCAAGCAGTTTACACACTGTTTGAAACATGGCTACTGATGAACATCTTGCAAACATTTCATGGCCACTGTAGCTTCAGCAAGTACATTCCAAGAAAAACCCCTTCAAAATAAGGCATAAAAATTTATGCCCTTGTAGATACGAAGAGTTACACTTTCAATTTAGAAATCTATCCAGCAACTCAGCCACCAGGTCCTTATTCATATAGTGATAAACCACTGATGCTGTGAAAAGACTTGGTCTTATCTCCCAAACTAATTGGAATGTGACGTTTGACAACTGTTTTGACAATTATTTGACAATTGTAAACCAATTGGTTTACCAGTTTCCAATCCGTTACATTTGCTAACAGCACAAGTTGACCAGTATAGGAACTGCACAGGAACACAGCAGAAATTCAAAATGAAAGGTTGCAGTTTCAAAACAGAATTGCATAGTACAATCTTTGGATTTCAGAAAGATTTACACTGACTTCGTACATAGCCAAGAAAAACAAAGTGGTACTGCTGATGTCAACATTGCACCATGATGGAAACACTGATACGGAAACCTTGACAAAACAGAAGCTTGAGATGGAAACTTTTTACAACAAAACCAAAGGCAGAGAAGATGTTGTTGATAGCTATGCAACAACTATGATGTCACTTGAAATACAAAGAGCTGGGCAATGTTTGTGTTTTACTCAGTCCTAAACATGTGTGGCATAAATAGTTTGATAGTTTACAAAGAAAATAACAAATGCAAAATACCACAGAGAAATTTTCTTAGAGGATTGGGACTGAACTCAGACCATTTATAGCAGAAGAAAAACAAAATGTTTCTGCCCAGGAACTATGAAAAAAAAAACCATGGAGCACACTGGGAGCTGACAAGCAAACAGGCAGGCATAGCATCACAAAACCTACGATGACAACAGGAAAACTAAAAAGATGTCAACTGCCCTACCAAAAAGGACAGGTAATCAAAACATACATGCTATCAGCATGAATGATACTTCTGTATAGAACATGCAGTTTTCATGTATGAAGACTGCCGTGGGTGTGACAGTTGAAGCAAAGATTATTTCTGTGGTAGGTTTTTGTTTGTATTTACGTTGTAGTTCACATAGGTTTTTATTTCTGATGTTATCTTTTAGGTTTTGTAAGCCAAGTACACAGCTGATGTGAAAATGTTGATGTTTATTCTAAGTGGGCAATGCATATTAAGAATTTAATACTTTATTATATTGATATTTTATATTCCTGTTAACTACACATTGCATAATATAATAAGAACCTCCTGACAAAACAGTAAGAGCAGCGAGATGTCAAGTATGTCCTACTAAAAGGCTAGGAAAGCAAAACACATATGCTGTCAGTGTAAGTAATACATGTGTATAAAATGTGTTGCTGTTATGTGTGCAGACTGCCTCAGGAGTGATAACTGAAGTAAAGAGTTTTTTGTAGAGTGCTACTGGTATTTTCATTGTAGTTCACACAGGTTTTTATTTCTGATGTTCGTTTTTAGACTTTGTACAACAAAATCTAGTCAATGTTGAAAATTTTGATGCTTTTTAAAATAAATATTAAAAATATAATACTTTATTTTTCTGTTAAGCATTCATTGATAATATAATAACACTCATAAAATTAAAATTAATTCATCAATAGAAATATTCTAAAGAATAAATGTGGGATCGACACTCATGTTTATATACCTTTATGACAAAAAATGTGTTATGCCCCTTTAACGTGAGATTCAAGTTAGAGACTATAAACTGTTGGGTTTATAAAAAATAGAACTATATATTGAAAGGAGATGAGTCTGAAGGAAGAGGAATGATACTATTTAAAGGCAAAGTGTTTTCCTTTAAAAAGATGAGTGTGTCTTTAAACTTCTGATTCTGGTATTAAATTTATGTTAGGCACTAATATTACTAATGGACATTTAATGGCAGGTCTACAGAAATAATATCTTACAATCTTAAAGTCTTTTATTGAAGCCAATCAAGAGTATACAGTTTTAGGAGTTTTTTTTTTTTAATCATAAACTTAATATAGAAATAAATGAAAAGTTAATTCTGTTCCATATCTGGACCAACTTTCTGAATTGGCAAAACAAATAAATATACAATTCTCATTTTGTAAAGTGACTTTGGCCAACAAATGAAGAAATACATCTTTCTTTTTGCTCTCCTGTGGGATCACTGCAGTGCACTCCAAGTAAAGAATAAGAAAGATAAAGAATGTATCAAACTATCTAACTATAAAGAGATTTACAGCAGAAGTGCTGATTAAAATGATGAATGCCCCAAGCAGTGGAAGGAACATATTGCCAGAGGATGCAGAAGGATGGGTTTTGGGACCTGGAACAGGAACTGGACCTGGACCTGGACCTGGAGCTGTTAAAGAGAATACACAGTCACTGACACATCGTATTTGGTTATCAAGTGTCATCCATCTATACCATACATCCTGAACATGTAAGCAGCAATACTGAAACTGAACTAGACACTTGCTGAAATACAATACTTCCAAACAGGAAAAATTTTTAAATAAATGTAACTCATTACAGATTTCAGGCTGTTTCCATGTATCATCAGAATGTGCCACTTAGGCTCTATCTAGGACTTCACAGGCTTTTTACTTTCTACAAAGCCAAGATAATTATTTCTTGTTCAAGTTCTCTAGTACTTCTTAGCAATTTTTCTTTTCTTTTTTTCGGTACTGGGGATTGAACTCAGGACCTTGTGCTTGCAAAGCAGGCACAGTGCCACTGAGGTAAATCCCCAGCCCTCTTAGCAATTTTTCTATTTTGATTTCTGTATATACATGCAAGGTAAAGTTTAACTCTCTTCTATTTCAAGCAAGACAATATAGTTCATATACACATTCAAACAGCTACTAATATACAATTGGACATAGCTGTATTTTAAAATACTAAGCCCTGGGAACCTGACAAAAAAAATCAATACTTTTTTTCTTTTTCTCTACACATACGTGGCTCTGGTAAAAACTGCTTCCCTTTTATCTAAGCAAGTACAAGGAATAGTGGGGTATATCTGTAGAATAATTTTTCATGCTGTTCTAAACTCAGATAACTGAGTTATGGCTGTTTTTGTTTAAATAGATTATACAATAGGAGGAGACTGACTGAAAGTTTATCCAAATAGAAAAACCAGTCAAATTTCCTAAGTGAAGCCATCATTTTAATAGTTTTATAAAAGCTTTCATATCAATTTACTTGCCATAGTTGCAAATATACAGTTATACATAGAGAGAGATAAAAGTCAGATGCACTCAAAGCATGTTACTGCAGACCACTGCTTCTCGAGGCAATAGTATTCCCCTCTGAGAGGTAAATCTGGATAACTGTCAAAGGATTTTTTTACAATTGTCCTAATAATGGCATAGAGATAAAAGATACTGATATTCTGACATGCTCAGGGTACTCTCATACAATGAAAAATTGACCTACTTCCTGCACAACTTTCAAATTCACTGCTACACATGTTTAAAACCTATCATATCTAGAATCTAAACAGTTTTACACATAAGCAAAATATTTTCAGATAGTTTTAAAAAACAATATTAGTTTTTTACCTAGTGCCCAGTTTCTTCACTTCCATTTTCTTGTATTTGTTATATAGAACAGTTTACAATCTTTTCTTAAATCCAAATTTATATGTGTAAGTAAATCTAAGCATCTTTCTACTTCATTAAATCAGCATCTACTGTAATTTTGTAATAAATTTTGTAATATTTGTTACAGAAAAAGGAAAATCAGGTTGAGAAGACTGAGAACTGTTCTAAACAGTGCAATCTTTAGCCACAGTAGAAGTGATTCAAGAAATAAAGTCAAGGTACACACACACACACACACACACACACACACTGTTATTATGATGCCTTAAGCTCTTTGTCCTTTTATTGAGGAAAAGTAAATTTCTCACTTTTCCTACATTGCACAAACAGATATTTATCAACTGAAGAAATGAAATATTTCTTACTAGGATTATCCATGTTTCCTCGATGTCTGTCTTCTAAAATACAAATAGATTTTGAGTTAATTGCATTATATATCTACCCAGAAGAGAAAGATCTAATTAAAGATTAAAGAAACTTGGGTATCTGAGAGTGGGCCTGAAGGGAAGGATAATAGGTTTAGAGGTATATACACTATTTTATGAGGTTAAATGTGATTCTGGGTACTGTGTTGACTTTTTTAAAAGCCTGCACTGCACATAGCTTTCCAGGAGTGGGCACAGTACAGTACAACAGTCTCAGCAAAAGCTTGTCAATTACTGGGGGAAGGGAGATCATAGTAAGGAGCACAGAACAGCTGGTCCCAATATTAGTGTGCTGTGTAGTTCTCATTCACACTTCTTTGATGAGCCATTCCTGTGTCTGAGGATTCCCTCCCAGTTCTGGTTTACCCTGAGAGGCCGTCTGTGTCATTCTGGAATGGACAAGCACAGCTGGATGGCAACTGTCTGTTTCAGTTAAGTATCTTTTTCTCTGTTTGAGAACTTTAATAGTAGTCCACCACTTACTGAAAGGAGTTCTCACTATTTTCTCCCTCTAGCATGCAGACTAGAATGTCAAAAACTGTATATAGCACAGATGTCTTCCCCAAATTCCTTACAACTGAACTAAATGACTACAGTAAAGGGCTTAGAAGCCGGTGGTGCCTCCATTCCAATAATAATTCATTACCAAAGTTTTCATCCAGTTGTACCACTTTTATTTCTAAATGAAGAAAAAAAAAGATTTTCAGATAACAATAATGACAGTTATCATTTACTACTATTTAGGTACTTTATTTCATTGGGTCTTTAGTCCTAAAAGACAGAAGTATCCTTTTTACACACATAAAAGCAGAGGTACAGAAAAGTAAAGTAATGCACAAAGTTATACAAGGAAAGTGTAGAGACTTCCTGAAGCCAGGTCTCTCTATATATCTCATGTTCATCCCCCACACCCTGCTCAGTGGCTGAGTTTCAGAAAATCACAATGTGACTACTAAAACTTCAATCAGAGAACTATGCAAACTCAGTCCTAGAGAGAAGAGATGTAGACAGACAAAGTGTGTCATCAGTATCACTAGGGTTTCACTTTAAAGTTGTGGCCAAATAAACTTACCACTGCTAAACTGGGTCAACATGAAAGAGTTGATGGACTCTGTGCTTGTGTCTATGCTTTACTTAACTAACTGTGAAGTGCTATTTCTGCACACAACAGTTTCCATGGACAGTGATGTTAGGTAAAGCTCAGCACTATGTGGATAGTTATAATTTAGCAGATCCTACAAATTAATTTAACATGATCATTATTCCTATAATAACAAAACTTTAAAAAATTATTTTCAAAGCACTACATGAACTCAAGAGAAAGGATTTTAAGCAATGTATAAGAGCCTGTTCCCTGAGATATTCCCATAAGGTAAATATGACAAGTGTTATTCCCATGAGGTAATATGACAAGTGTTGCCCACATTTCAAAGAAAAAATTCTGAGGCATAAAGAGATCATGACTGTCCATGGCTCTCTAAAACATCATGTCCTCTTTTCTTCTCCTTGTCTCAGGAATAAAAATTAGTTTGAGTAGTTTTTCTTTTTTTTTTTTTTTTTTTAGTTTTTCTTCCCCATTCCCACATAAGCATAAAATTCTAAGGAACATGACTGGAGTCACTGTTCAGTTTCTCTGGTCATAGAAGCTCAATGCCTCTCAATGGCCTCCCCTCAGCTCTCATTTTAAAAATATTCAATTTAATGGTTATATATGTAATAGGTTAAATCTGCTGTGGTAAGTACCCTGGAAAAACACTCAAGGAACCACAAGTATTGAGGAAAAAACACTTGGTAAAAGTTAAAACACCTAGGTCCTTCACTCATTTATGTGTCTTGTGAAAGTACTTAGCTGTTCTGCATGTTTAGTGGTGATAGTTTATGTATATTCCTCCCAAAATGGCATCTTCCCTGCTGGCATGCCAACCACTGCTTACCAGGTAGTGGAGAAGGTTCTGGAGTTTTCATTCCTAAACAAAAAAGAAGTTTTCAATGGCTTGCAGTTTGCTCCCATGAGTACAATTTTCAAACTCTTATCTGATGAACTCGAGATAGAATCTCCCAAGTTTCCACCATGCTGTAGTTTCTGGCTTTTGATTGAAAAACTCTGGCTCCATAAGCACTTCCTTGTGTAAATCTACACCAAACTTAGAGGAGTCTTCTGCTATAGTACCTCACTGAGTGTGTGTTTATGCCAGGATAACACTGTGTTTCGTTACCTAGAGATCCCAGACCAAAGCTAACAGTCAGCTTGTGTGAGAAGCGGAAATTTCTATGGAGTAACTTAAGCTGTAAAACCAGGACGGTGCTGGCCCACTGCATCCAACTTCCAGCAGGGCCAACTCAGCCATGTCCCAGCACAGCTAACTTTCTTGCCCCAGAGACAGTCCTCCAGGAACAAGTGAATACTTGGTAGGAAAGGCACTATCTCTATAGTCTTTCCCTATGGCTCATATCTAGATGTCTCTCCAAAATGTCATGTGCTCATAGGTGGGGCTTTTGATAGGTGGCTGGATCATAGTTGTGTGATACTAGATTATGGGTATGATAACTAGATTACTTCACTGAATGATTTAGCATGGTTGTGGGTGATAAGTTTACTTAAGAGGGAACCCCCCACCCTGGTTGGGGATGGCAGCAACCAATAGGCTTGTAGCTTGTATGGAATAAAAGTGAAAGGAAGGCTCCTGCTTTGCTGCCTTCTGCCTGCCACACTATGGACTGTTTCTCTTCTGCCATGCCCCTCTACCATGCTGCCCTGCCTTGGAGCCAGCTGACTATTGACTGAAACCTCTACAAACTGTGAGCTAAAATAAACCTCTCCTCCTTTAACTTGTGGGTATTGGGTATTTCGTTCCAGAAACAAGTAATTAAAATGCTTAGCAAAATCTTTGTAGATGACTAGCACACATTTATAAGAAAAATATTCTCTTTAATCTTGGGAGAATCATTCTCACTTCATATTTGAGCAGAGAGAATAAACACAAAACTATCTTACCAGGTATTTCAGGGAGTTCATGGATTTTCACACCTAAATGCAGAAATGAATATTGCTTAGTACTAATCAGTTTATCTTGCACTGTTAGTGCTCCCATTTATCTATATAATTCCTCTATTACCAGTACCCTGAAAGGAAAAAATAGCAACAACGAAACACCATTAATTTCAGTGGCTCTTCATTCTCAAGACAAAGTTCAAACTGTAAGCTAGACTTCAAGAACTTCCATGATTTATTCCTATTTTTCCAATCTTATCTTCACCAGACAGGCCTAAGACATTCATTTTTTTCCCCCCTGTACCAGGGATCAAACTCAGGACCTTGCACTTTCAAGGCAGGTGCGGCACCACTGAGCTAAATCCCGGCCCTAAGACATTTATTTTTAAATGAAACTATACCAGGTTGAAGTCTGTGCTTGATTTAGCTCCACCGGTGTTAAAGTTATTAGCTCTATGATTTTGGCCAGGCTTCTTAATCATTGTGAACTTGAAGTCCTCCTTTATATAATGAATGAGGATTAACACAAATAACTATATAAAAATGGTTGGTACATTCCATGAACGTAAAAAACACTCCATTAGTTCCCTTCACCCCGTCCTAGCTTAATTAATTCTCCCAAATCTCCAGGCTCAGTAATGTTGTTAGTCCTACATTACTTTACATTTACCTTAGTCCTAGTGAGGTAAGACAGAAGAAAATTTTTAAAATAGGCAGAAAGGAGACAAAGAAATTGGGATTTTTAAATTGTAGTTTTAAGAAAAACTACAGCTTTAGGACCCAGAAGTTACTCAAGCCTTTTTCCTTTTCCAGAAAACTCACTAAAAAAAAATATTTTTTTTTCCCCTAAAGGTCTTAAAGAAACAACCTGTAAATTGGGATCTGACCCATCCTTTTCACCTGTAAATTACAATTCCTACATTCCTAAGGAAGCAGTAGTACAGTTGGGCAGCATATCTCAACTTCAAATACATGTAAATGGTTTGCATTGCCAGATGAGTAACATGACAGACAACAGGAATATGCATTCTTGTTACCCATCTTTTTTGTTTGTTTGTTTGTTTTGTTTTGTTTTGTTTTTTGGTACCAGGGATCAAAACCCATCTTGAAAACACACCCAACATCCCATAAATATAACCCAGTTGTGGCTCATAATCTCTCTTCCTTCTTTTCTGTCCTCCCCTCCACTCACCTTCTCCTCCCCTCCCTCCCATCTGCTTCCCTCCCCTCCTCTTCTTCCTCCCCTTCCTTCTCCTCCTCCTCTTCCCCTCTCTCTCCTCCTGCCCCTCCCTCCCCTCCCCTTCTCCCTCTCAAATTTCTGCCTACTAAAATCCCTCCCATGCCTCTTACTGACTAGTTCTGCAAATTCTTTTTCTGTAACCTTATTAATTTTCTGTACCCTAAACATTATGTTTGGGGTAGGTTATGTGCCTTATCTTAGCTACAGAAACCTCAGATTCAGTCCAGTGATGCTAAGAATCCTCATACAACCACCTCCTAATTTTGTACCTAGTCTCAGAGAGTAACAAAAAGATGATTCATTTACCAAGTAAGACAGTGAGCCTTGCTTTTTTATTCCTAAGGGTAAAAATAAGAACTATTTAATAAAAAATCATTCCACTTGAAAGCTAATTTAACTTTGTAACAAGCTTTTTTATACTGGAACACTCAAAGATCTGAGAAATGGCAGGGGAAAAGGGAAAAGTTTATGATAATGTCTTACCAGGGTCTTCAAGCTTCTGGTTTTCTTCACCTAAGTTACAAAAAAAGGGTGGGGGGGGGGTTCTAGTTTAACAAGGGATCAAAAGAACTGAGACTTAACTGTAGCTACAGCAAAATTATTTTCAGGATGACACGGCCATTAGAAACATTTGATATATCCAGTAACTGCTATTACTTTTTTTTTTTTTTTGTATTTTTGGTACCAGGGATCAAACTCAGGTCCTTCTGCTTACGAGGCAGGCAGCAGAACCACTGAGCTCAATCCCCAGCAGCTATTACTTTTTGAGTGTCAACAGAATCTAAATACACCTAGGCTAATGGGCTAAATTTCCATCTTCTGTTTCTATTAAGAAAAATTCATATATAGGTATCTCTTAGAGTCTTAAGGAGGAGAAAAATGTCTATTTTGCACATGAAGGAAATTGCATACTTAAGGAAAGGCTGATTTTTTTCTCTGTTCAATGGAGAAAAATGTATTGCAGTCACATGGACCAAATATATAATAAGAAACTTAACCACTTACCACTTATTTAAATACAAGATGATCAAAAATTGCATTTTTTGTTAATTTTTATAAGATAAAAGGAACTATAAAAACAATTTTATCAAATGTATTCAATAAGTTTTCTATGTATGATATATCTTAAAACATTCAATAAACAATGCAATATTACAATCTGGACAGTAGTATCTAGTCTCTTTCCAAATGCTTTTTGCATTATTGTCTTTCTCTAAACAATATACTTTACACTTTCATGTCAGACTTTCCTTTTTTTTCTGTGGATAGTGTATTTCAATAAAACATCTATCCACTAAACATAATGGTGAAGACATCAATGATGGATGTCCTGGTTGGCATTTTGCTAGCCTGTATTTTTCAATTATCTGGTCTATTAGACCTAATCTAAATTGTAAATGATTTTTGAATCCCTTGCTTTGAATAAATAAGAAATGAGTTCCATATTGTTTTGGTCCAGAAGGTGTATAAATATCTTATAAGAATATATTTTTTCCTTGCTTTTTGATTACAGGATAGCTTATTAGATGTTGGTCAACTCTGTCCACACATCCACAGGATTATTATAAACGTTGACCACTATTGGAATTTTTTTAGTTTTGTTTCTTCTTTCAAATTCCATCATTTCTGTATTATTAATAGTTGACAATGAGACTTTTTTTTGTCTTTCCATTTCATAACACTGACTTTTCCTCTCTGATATGCTAACATTTCTCCCTTTTTCACAAGTTTTTTGTTTTGAAGATCTTGTGGCACTTCCTTCTTATTCAGTCTCAGTATCCCAGACATGTCTGTTTTATATTGTAAAGGGTATTACTGAGTTCTGGAGAAGTATAAAAATTATATCTAATGCACTTACAATAAGAGTTTTTACAGACTGTAGCACAAAATTATAGGTTATTTTTCATAAATAAACACAAATTAGTAAAAGAAAATAACCAGGGCCAGAGATTTAGCTCAGTGGTGCTACCCCCTGCCTTGCAAGTGCAATCCCTGAGTTTGATCCCTGGTACCAAAAAAAGAGATAGAAAGAAAATAACCAGAACTTATTATTAGACTGCACTAGAAACAAACATCAAAGGCAAGTATAATGTTCTAAACAAAAAAGTATGCAAAATATAGTTTATATAAAACAAATAAACAAGTCTGGTGTGGTGGTGCACATCCATAATCCCAGCATTTGGGAGGCTGAGGCAGGAGGATCACAGTGAGTTTGAGGCCAGCCTGAGGTACATAGTGAGCTTAATTAAGGCCAGCCTGAACTACATAGCAAGACCCTGTCCTGAGAAGAGAGAGAAGAGAGGGGAGGGGAAGAATACAAGTATATCTTGTGCAAACAAGAATTGACTGGTTGAGGGCCGGGGAGTTAGCTCAGTGGTTTTGCTGCCTGCCTTGTAACCACAAGGTCCTGAGTTTGGTTCCCAGTACCAAAAAAAAAAAAAAAAAAAAAAAAAAAAAAAAAAAATTGACTGGTTGAGTCAAGAACTGACTACCTGAGTGGGCCAGGGATTTAGCTCGGTGGTTCCGACTCCTCCCTTGCAAGCACAAGGTCCCGAGTTTGATCATCGGTACAACTGACTGCCTGAGTGATGCTTGGGAGAGTCAGTACATACAAAAACACTGCTCAAGTGACACTCAGGGTAAACTGTTAAGTTGTTAAATGCAAAGAGATGATTTGGCTATATTTCCATAAGTGGAAACTTTAAAAAAACATCTAATCACCTAGATATTTTAGTCATGATACCTGTGAAGGCAAAAAATTAAAATGGAGCACTTAAAATGAAATGCATACCTATAATTCCAGTAATACAGACATGGAGTACAAATGGGGCTATGGGACCATTTGCCTCTACTCACCTGGGCAACACTCCAGGGCCAACATCCCAACTTCTGTCCTATCCTCTAATACCCAGAGGCAGAGATAAGAAAGACAAAGACCCCTGGGCCTGCCTTGAAAGAATTTAAAGTCCCAAACCAAGAAGCATGTGTGCCAGATTCTCCAACATGAAGTATAGTAACCTTTCTTTACCAGCTCACTGAGGGTTCATGCATACGGACTGCATCTCACACATCTAATCATAACAGAGTGAATTATTAGCTACAATTGACAATACTCAGAACCCTGTCAATCACATGTTCAAAGACCCAAATGGGAGGTGCCCTAGGCCCAGTGCAACATTTTAAATGCCTAAATCCAATACCTTCAGTGCTCATGCCACTTTCCTTTTCACTAGTGTGAGCCCATTCACTTGGAGTGTACTGTTCCCTAAATTAAATTTTGTTGCTGGGTGTGGTGGTGCACACCTGTAATCCCAGCACTTGGGAGGCTGAGGCAGGAGGATCACCACAAGTTCAAGGCCAGCCTAAACTACCTAGTAAGTTCAAGGACAGCCTGAACTATATATAGTGAGACCTTGTCTCAATAAACAAACTTTGTTGGTTTTTCAACACTGGGACAAGGGCCATATCCACTTTGTTCACCACACACAAGAACCTAGAAACCCATCCACGACCCCATCACTCATGGTAACATCCTGGTGAGCCAGCCAGGAGGCAAGCCCTCTTTTTGGAGAGATTTTACACTCCTCTTCTCTTTCCCATTTTTGTGGTCTTGGTCGCTCATTATAGGAACTGGTCATACTGTTAAATGTCATTAGTGTAGGGTTAGTTAGAAGGGGAGATAGGCAGGGATGTAGGGCATGATGTGGCTGACATGGCATGGCTGATGTGGCAGACAGCTACAGAATAAATGATCACCTGCTTACTAGAAATCGCCCTTTGTGAAACCTCTGCAGGTGTAGAACAGTTATTTTTAGAGATCTGCTTGCACTAAAAAATACTAATATACACTAAAAAGTACCGCAAACCCCATGCTCATCCTAGCAACAGCTTACTCTAGCAACAGCTTGTCCCAGCAACAAAGGCTAAGACTCTGACTGGCCTAGAACACGACAATCAATGAAGACTCCATAACCCTTAAACAAAGGCTTAGACCCTGGTTGGCTTAGAACCTTTATAAGTGTGGCCAGAGAAAAGACACCACATTGAGAAGTTCACTTGAACTTCTTCCTGCCATGTTGCTTGTCGCACAGCAGTTTGTCTCCCACTTTGCCATCTTATAAAAAAAACCTCTGCTTCACACTACTTTCATTTCTGAGTTCCTCCTGTGACCTGGATAGCCTCACTTCTTCATTTTTTACTTGAGGGATCTTTGGCTTTGAGTCAGCCCCACCCCTCCATTCTTTGCCAGAGTGGGGCAAGAACCTGAGGACAGACTCCCATACCCCTGGCCATGATGTTATATTAGGGAACAAGAGAACTTCCATGCATCACTCAGGTTTATGTTTTGTGACCTCTCTTTTGCCGTGAACCCCTGTAGCCTGAGGATAGCCTTTCAGTAGCTCGAGATACCTAAGCCCCTAGAAAAAGGAGTGTCAGAGAACTGGAGGTTGGAGGAGCCTACTGTGTCCACCATATAGGATGGGGAGGGGAAGCATGTGGCCTCTGTGTTTTAAAGGACTACAGGCCCATGAAAAGGGTACCACTCCAGCCCTTCTCAGCCATTTGCCACAAGCTTCCTGGGTCCTAGGGATGCCTACAGATATTTTTTTCTTGAGGCCTCTTGGGGTTGTTTCTCTAATAGCAGCTCTCTTCCTCCTTCCATCTTACTTGGTTACAGTAATTGTATGATAATTTTGGCCTCCAGTTTATATCTCTATCTAAAATGATACATGATCAGTAGCTGCTAAATGACTTCTCACTGTGAAGCTTTTACCTGCCAGGAAACTATCCTCTTGAGAGGTGGGTTAGCAGAAATGCAGGGGAGCTGGAGACAAAGGGGCTAGGGTCGGGTAAAGGGAGTGTATGTAAGGTTCAAGTTTTTAAAGCTAGGTACCACTCAGGCTATTGGCAGCAGTGAGGTCCAGAATTCCACCTCTCCCAATCTAATAGCAGCTCAGATGACCTTCCCAATTTGTTTGGTTTCTTTCCCTACAGACACGTCCTAGCCTCATTTCTTAGACTGCCACCTACTAGGTTCCTCACCTATCAGCCTTTCCTTAGCTCTTTCCAAGTGACCAAACTCTACCTGCCCTACTTACAATGGTTGGGGATAAACTTATTGGGACCCAGAAGCCTGCTCCTCTGGATAGTGGGTCATGACTAAAGACCATTTCTCAAATTACTCACTTGTCAGTCAAAGTCCCCAAGAAGCAACTACACAGGAAAATAAATTTATCAGGGATTCATTGGGGGAAGCACTTACCACTCTTTCTTAGATAACCATCCCATGATGTTAGGTGATTTCATAATTGGCTAAAAGCATCCAGCCAGTAGAGTGATAGGTCTGACTCCAGTCTGCTCCCACCCCAAGCTGCTCAAGTTCCTAGAATGGCTGTCCCCAGGCACCTAAGACCAGGGAACAATGCCTACTCTGCTAGGACACAGCACACTTGCCTCACTTGCTAGGTCACAACACATCCACAAAATATTAGCCATTGCTATGGCCACATACT